GGATATAAAGAAACATGGAAATGTCAGAACTGAAAAACACAGTAACTGAAATAAAAAAACTCAGGGATTCAACAAGAGAATGAAGGGGACATAGAAAAGAATCGGTGAAATAGAAGACAAGACAATAGAAATGACATCATCTGAAGAGAAAGAATATAGACTGAAAAAATACTGAACAGAGCCCCAGTGGCATGTGGGGCTTTAACAAAAGATCAAACATTCATGTCATTGGAGTCCCAAAAGAAGAGGAAAAAGAAGACACTGAAGAATAATCCCTGAAAATTTTCCAAATTTGCAAGACATAAACCTACCAATTCAAGAAGTTGAGTATAAAAATGATGTCAGAGATGTATGATCTCCTCTACACAAGAGGGAGTGAGAATTACCATCAGCATCACCCCAAGGCTGATTCCTATGAAGCAGAGGTCAGATGTACCTCCTCTCTCCATCCTTTTATACCAACTGATACCAGCAGTCCCTCCTACTGCACTTTCTTCTCTACGGTGTTGATTATTTGCTGCAATGGCCACACAGAACTCACAGATAATACTTACAATCACAGGTTTACAGGGAAGTAACAAGTTACATTCAGGGTCAAGAATGACTGAGGATACAGTTCTTTGCTCAGGATAGCATCCTGGCTATGCCCATAGGCAGGCTTCTCTCTGGCTCGTGCCCCTCAGCCCAGATGGGCCTCTGCCCTGCCCAAGCAAGTGTTACAAAGCTTTTTAGCTCCACCAGTAAGTGTCCACAGGCATCTTATTCTACTAGTAAGCCTCAGCCCAAAGGCATTCAGCTCTCTCTCTCTGCACGTTGGTGAGCCTAGCTCCATAAAATGCCTGGAAGCACCCCACTCCACCAGCAAGCGTCCTGACCAAAGCTGCTCAACTTTCTCACTGCATGATCTGGGAAGCCCACCACGCTGTCTCCTTGTCTCCTGCTTGGTGTCCTGGTTCTGCTGCACCTGCTGCCACTGTTCCTCTGCTTCTTGCTGCTGTCTCCCACCACCTCTAGTGTTCTCATGTTCGTTGTCTCCCTCCCTCCCTCCCTCCCTCCCTCCCAGCTCTAGGAGATTCTCAGTGCAGGGATTCCAGTTTCAAAGGGTTTGCTCTACACCTACCTCTTCTTTCTTGGTGGTAGTTCCCCTCCTCCACCCTGGGATTTGCTCTCTTTTTTAAGCTAAGTGGATGGGATTTGCTCTCTTTTGTAAGCCAGATGGATGGCAAAACTGACTAATCCCCTTACTGGGATTCCATACAACTTATTTGTATGGTCCCACCCCCACAGGGGTTCCATGCACCTTAACAAGCTCTCCAATCCCTTTGGTGGGCCATAAACACTATATATGCATAATCCTGGGAGCTCTGGTAGCATAGTGGCTAAGGCACTTGACTGCTAACTAGAAGGCTGGTGGTTCAAACCCACCAGCCACTCCCAGGAAGGAAGATGGGGCAATCTACTTCTGTAGTGATACTGCCCTGGAAACCCAAGGAGGGGTCGCTATGGGTTGGGTCTGACTCAACGGCACATAACAACAACAACAACAATGCATAATCCCACCCAATCATTTCATGGTAGTCACAAAGTCTATGGCCAGAAGAGCCATATTAAGTAATTCACTGCTCTGTATTAAGCAAACCCCAAGAAGGATAAACCCAAAGAAATCCATGCCAATACATAATTAAACTTCTGAAGATTAAAGACAAGAAATAAAGTCTCGAAAATAGGCAGATGACACTTCACTATAGGGGAAAAACAATTCAAATGACACGATTTT